TATTAATATAGAGAAACCCAACAATTCCCACAATGAGCAGCACTTTGGAGACTGTGGAGGAAAAACTCCCTCATTAACAGAGAGAAACCTCTAGAACCAGACTCAATGTGGGCGGTCATCTGCCTCGACCGGTTGGGATGAGCAAAGAATAAGGGGGAGGAGAGGAGAGATAGGTGGAAAAGAGGGGAGAGAGTGATAGTGGGTGGGGGGAGAGAGGCGAGAGAGACCGGGAACACTTGAGCACAATCAGGTATCAGATCTGACTAGTTAAAATGTAAACAATAACAGTGTAAAGACTATTAATTATTATTGATAACAGGCACAATTCATGTCATAATTAATTACTGAAATATTGCAATTAATAATAGTAATAATGGAAAAGTCGTTGTCCTGCAGTTCCGGAGTCAGAGATATCTGAAATGAGAAAGAAAAAGAGAGAGAGGGACTATGGGAGTACAAAGTGACATAGTTATTGACATGTATTAAAATAAATAAATGACTGGGGGGGCAGAGAGACAGAGAGAAGTGGAGAGGTGCTCAGTGGATGATGGGAGTTCCCCCAGCAGTCTAGACCTATAGCAGTATAACTAAGCGATGGTTCAGGACTCACCTGATCCAGAACTAACTATAGGCTTTATCAAAAAGGATTTATCTCCTTTTTGATCCTTTTATTTCAACATTGATAAACCTCTCACTTTATGTTTCTCAGGAGTGTTTTGTATATTGCTACTTTGTTGCTTTGTTCTCATATTTTGTGCTCATATTTGTGCAACATATTGCACTTCTGTCCATCCCCCACTCTGAAGTTTCTGTTATTTTCCCCCATTGTTAACCTATGAGATAAACTGTGATTTGTGAATATGGCCTATGCAAACATTTGATGTGATATATGTTCATTACTATAAGCTGCATATCAACTGTGTAGTTTACAAGGAGCAATGCATAAAATCATGCAGATATGAGAGATGCAGCGATTTCCATCACTAATGTATGACCACTGTTTGATAAACATCTCTTCCACTGCTTGTGTCAACATTTGGACCCTCTGTCTTCTGTTTGTTTCTCAGGTCTTTATCTCTGTGAACTGTCTGAGCACAGACTTCTCCTTGCAGAAGGGTGTGAAAGGGATGCCCCTGATCATCCAGATCGACACCTACAGCTATAACAGCTGCAGCAGCAGACCCATCCACAGGGCCTTCTCCCAGATCAAGGTTTTCTGTGACAAGGTTAGGAAGGCTGTTGGCACAGTCCACTGCCTCGTCTGGTCAATGATGAGAGAATAATTCTTAACTTTTACTCTTTGTAAGCATTCTGCACTTTATGTCATGGTAACCTGCTGTTGCTTTGCAGGGTGCTGAGAGGAAGCTTCGTGATGAGGAGAAGAAACATCTCAGAAAGAGGGTGAAAGGTAGATAAAATGTTTTTAATTTGCCAGATAACAAAATGATGATATTAATTTCCATTATGTTCATCAGTGATAAGTCATCCAGCTTGATTTGAATTCTGCTGAAATGAGGTTGTAAAGCATTTTCTGGGAAATCATGAAATTGAATGAAATAGAGAGGACAGTCGGTGTAACCTGATGGTGCCTGTACTTGGACTGGTTGCCTGGCAACAATTGCTGAATCCACACTCTCTGGGCATTAGGGAAAAATGGCAGCTCGGGGCCAACCGCTAACATTAAAATGCCTGACTGCACGCTGTTCAAAGCCATGACTGACCTGGACTCCCAGCCTGTCCTCTTCATTCCTGACGTCCACTTTGGAAACCTGCAGAGAGCAGGGCAGGTGAAGTAACCCTTTAAGTGTCGCACTGACACACACACACACACAC